CGCAATACATTCTCCAAGGGCAGTTATCTCGATACAATTTTGCCAATCGAAGTGAAGGGCAAGAAGCGACCCGAGATAGGACAACGCTTAAGATTGAGTGCAGGTGATATTGCACAGGCAAATTTGCTCTATAAATGTCCAAAATGCGGTCGAACTTTTCAAGAGAACACTGGCATTTTTGCCAGTCCCTCGTACTACACTGCCGGTGCTCTAACCAATGAAACCGAGAATTGTGAGTGGCGCATTACAGCAACACATGGTGAACGAGTGGTGCTGCGTTTAGAAAATTTGGTTAGTACTTGAAGTAATAAAATCAATATATAATAGTAATATTTTTGAATGATACAATATAATATAGAATAATATATAATATAAGTATATATAAATGAATATATATAATATATATATATAAATATAGAATATATAATGTATAAATTAGTTTGCAGCAGAATTTAATATGTTTATCTTTTTTGTTTTAGAATATATTTAAGTCAAATAATTGTCAAACAGATTATTTAGAAGTGAGGGATGGGTACTTTTTCAAATCTCCGCTAATTGGTAGATTCTGTGGAAAAGTAGCCAATGAAATTCTCACTTCAGAATCAAGCAGAATGTTATTAACTTTTGTAAATAATCATCGCTCGGAAGGGTATCGTGGTTTCAAAGCTGAATTTGATGGTAAGTTAAAAATTCGAATTAAGACATTTGACATCTTTATTAAATGAAATAGAAATATACAAATACCTTTACACAGTAAATATTTTTTTTAACGGACACCAACAAGATCAGTAATTTTATCCAGTTCAGAGAATTATCTGACAACACAATATTACACAATTAAGAAAAACATACAGTAATGACAGCGTCCATTTAGTAGAGTTCTCAATGCATTATCTAACAAGTATTAGAAATTTTTAATAAGTACGCATTCGATATAATTCAATTAGTCAACATAATAATTGAGATATGATATGATATACATATACTAAAGCGAATTTAGCAATTTCTTAATTTGTTACAATTACTATATACTTATAACTACATATACTATATTTTTATATTGAATTGTTATACAGTTATATTATTTTAGTTATATGCTATATAAATAACATTAGGCGTTTTCTTTTGTAAGCATATCGCAAAAGAACAACAAAATAAAGCACTGCTTTTGTTAAAGTTTCGTAAATAAAAAATAAATTTTTGCAATTATGGGTAATAATAATTTATTTTATTCATTATTGTGAATAAAATTTGTATTGTCAGGCTTTTGCAAGAATTAAGTATAATTTTTTAATATAAATAAATTCAATAGAATTGAGTATTATTTGTCAAATATTTTTTGACAGTTATCTGGAAATTTTGTACGTTCTTCCCAAAATTGTTTACAATAGACAATTTTTAATCTTGGCAACCATTCGATTTCAGCTGCTTATTAGTTAAGCGGTTTCAAAAAGATTAGACTAAATAAGCCAGCAGTGTTGTTGTTTCATATGTTATTTTTAAAATAAGCGGTTGTTCTTTTGTGATATGCTTACAAAACAAAAGGCCTTTTATTAAAATATTTAATTTTATATGGTATATAAACTAAAACTATAACATAATAAAAATTTTTAAGAAACTATTTAATCTTTTGAAATTCAACTCAACATAATTTTTTTGTAAATACTGTCTCTATTTGTGTCATAAAACTAACTTCGTCTGAATAAAAGCTTTAAAATTTTTGTTTATGTTTTTTATATTCAAAAAAACTATGATGAGGTGAATTCTCAGTTGTTCTATTTTCTACTTTTAGTTGTATGTGGTGGTGAGTTAAATGTGGATGAATCGGAAGGTCGTTTAGAGTCCCCAAACTATCCACTTGAATATTTGCCAAACAAGGAATGTATTTGGAAAATAACCGTCCCAAAAGGATACCAAGTTGCACTGAAGTTCCAATCATTTGAGGTCGAAAATCACGACAGTTGCGTTTATGACTTTGTTGAAGTAAGAGATGGTCCATCTCAAGACTCACAATTAATTGGTGTGTTTTGTGGATATAAGCCGCCTCCAAATATGAAGTAAGTAAAATTATTATTTTTAATAAATGAAATGGATTACATTAAGTATTAAAGTATATTTTTACTCAAGGACTAAATTTATTTAAATTGAAATATTTTGTAATAAAAAGAGCGGAATTGAAGTTATTTTGCGAACAAAATACTTTATTAAAAGTTTCATTTATTTTGAACAAAAAATTGAAAAAACTATGTACTCAATATTCCGTAGCAAAAACCAATTAAATTAAAATCATCTAACTAGATTTTTTAGTTTAAGTAGAAAAATATATTTTCTTTATTTAATTTTCAGTATTTGTTGTCGTAAGTACTAGGGTTTTGGGTTTATATAGGGTTTTGAAAAAGTTTATCTGAAAAAACCTTTATGAATCCTAAAAAGTTCAACATACCAAAAAAAATCTACCTACATGTAAAGTTTGTTAAAACTGTTTCTAAAAATCAATAGAAATAAACTTTTAGTTTTTAGTATAAAAAATAATTTAATGTTCTCTAACCGATATTTCGTACAATGTTTCTTACTATTCAATAAATGAAAACCTTAATTGAGATAATGAAAATTTTTCTAAATTGGATTATTTTTTAGTGGCCAGTTCACGTACAACACTGCATAACTTTTTAACACAATGTAGAGTTCAGCAGATCTAAATGTTCTTGAATCAACTCCTATCTTTTATAAGTCAATTTATGCATTACTTACTTAATAAATAATAATTAATAGTAATATTAAAATAAACTTGTCACATCACATTACTACTTGAACCATAGTTGCTTTTCTGTCTTTAGATAAATGGTTTACCAATTGCAACATTAGCTCTTAACAGATTTGAAATGCTGTTTATATGTTTGGCACTGCCTACTCTGTTTTTAATTCTAGGTCAAGTGGCAATACAATGTTTGTGAAATTTGTGTCGGATACATCGGTACAGAAAGCAGGATTTTCGGCTATATTCATGAAGGAGGTTGACGAATGTGAAACTCAAAACCATGGTTGTGAACACGAGTGCATAAACACTCTGGGGGGTTATGAGTGCAGTTGTCATATTGGTTATGAATTGCACAGCGACAAAAAACATTGCGAAGGTGCGTTGGCGCATAATATGCTTACTTTTTAATTTGGCTCTGTGTTGATACTCACGAAGTCGCTTAATGCATTCGCCCAGTATAATTCCATTTTTTTGTTTTTATTTAGATGCCTGCGGTGGTGTGATTGAATATCCAAACGGTACTATTACTTCACCATCATTTCCAGCACTTTATCCTATACTAAAGGAATGTATATGGGAAATTATTGCACCGCCAAAACATAAAATCTCTCTCAATTTCACACATTTTGAATTAGAAGGCACCACACATCAGCACACAGATTGTGGTTATGATTCAGTCACAATTTATTCGAAACTCAGCGAAAATCGCCTTAAACGTATTGGCACCTATTGTGGAAACGCCATTCCACCCACAGCCACTTCAGAGGGCAATGCTTTACGTGTAGAATTTCATTCCGATAAATCAGTGCAACGTAGCGGGTTTGCTGCGGTTTTTTTTACCGACATAGATGAGTGTTCCCTTAATAACGGTGGTTGTCAGCATGAATGTCTCAATACAATTGGATCCTATATGTGTTCATGCCATAATGGCTATTCACTGCACGAGAATGGACATGATTGTAAGGAGGGCGAATGTAAACATGAAATTTCCGCACCATTCGGTACTATCTATAGTCCCAATTTTCCGGATTTGTATCCACCAAATGCTGATTGTGTTTGGCATTTCTTGACAACTCCAGGACATCGCATCAAATTAATTTTCAACGAATTCAATGTGGAATCGCATCAGGTAATGGCAAACATAAATTTTAATGAAATGCACTCTTTTCCACATGAAGCTTTCGCATTTGATGTATTCTCTGTTTTTGAATTTGATTGATTTGTGTAGGAATGCGCTTACGATAATGTGGCAATATACGATGGCGAGTCTGAAAGCAGTTCGCTTTTGGGACGTTTCTGTGGAGACAAAATACCATATCCGATATCATCATCCACAAACCAATTGTACATGGTATTGAAGACAGATAAAAATAAGCAACTCAATGGTTTCACAGCAATGCACTCTACTTGTGAGTATGAAATGAAATAAAAAACTACTAATTGATTAGAACTCAAATGTATTGTTAATTTATGTTGAATGCAGCATGTGGCGGATACTTACGTGCAACAAATCAAATTAAACAATTTTATTCGCACTCGCGTTTCGGCAATCACAACTACAATGAAAACATGGACTGTGAGTGGACAATACAAGCACCACCGAGCAGCAATGTACAGTTGTTGTTCCTAACGTTCGATATTGAAAGCAGTGAAAATTGCACTTACGATTACGTGCAAGTTTATTCTGGAATGGAGGATACAAGTGGTCCCATGTATGGACAATACTGTGGAAACACGGTAAGTAACGAAGATAGATTAGCAAACATAAGGAATGGATTTTTTTATTGTATCATTATTTCACAAACAGCTTCCTCAGGATATAATATCCTTAACTGACTCTTTGTTGGTGCGTTTCAAGACGGATAATTCTGTTACATTAAAAGGGTTCTCGGCATCCTATGTAGCTGTCGATCCTTTTGATAACAGTGAAGAGGATATTAACTCATCCAGCTTTGAGATGGTGACTCCATTTCCAGGCTCACTCAAAAGTATCTATAAAGTAGATGAAACACAAGAGTCATACGAGTACAGTGATTTCATGGAAAATCAATTGATTGACAGAAGACTAAGAACCAGATATTAATTTAAATTGCAATTTTATATTGAATGAAAATTGTTTCGTATGAGCATTCTGTGTGAGTAAGTAAAAAGTGAGTGTGCATACAGAAAAATGGAATAAAATATATCCTAATGACAATAGATATAATCATTGAAGAATTTATATTTTATTTAAAGCATATCAGGAAGAAAATCATCACTTAATAAAATTCTGAGTTACTTAGATAATTCAAAGTAGTTCGTCGATATCATAAGTATTGTATTTACATAAAGACATTGAAATTTTATGTAACGTGCAATTAATTTTTTAAGCAATAAATATATTTTAAATTAAAATTTATTAAATAAATAACTTAAAAATCATAATTAATAATATTAAAATCAAATTTAGATGATATAATTAAAAAGAAATTTTGAATCAAAAAAATAAATTCATTGATTACAATAATTAATTAATAAGAGGATATTTAATTATTAGAGTTACTTATAATAATTACTTTAATGGAATTGCATTTAAAAACTTAAATTGGTAGTAAAACTAGGAGTTATTGTAGTTTTGTTTTAATATATGTGAAAAAATTGGTCAAGAAATCATCTATTTAAAAACGTTTAATGAATGTGCAGTTTTAATAAAAATAATAATGAATATTTTTACAATATTAATCAAATCCTAACATGAATGTAATTTATATATTATATGTATATTTAAAGAGAACATTAAATTAAAGTTTTAGTAAATAAATATATGTGTTTTATTACTCTTTATTGATGCATTATTATTTTTGTTTTTAAAAGTTCATTGAATAGGAGAAAAGACATTTGTGCACTATGTTATCATATTCAATATAACAATGCTTGATAACTTTAAACAGGGATTCCAGTATTAGTTTTTGACTATTCTGATGATAAGTTGAACTAAAAAAAAAAAATATGGACATTCAAAACACATTCAAAAAGTGTAGAAAGTTAATTTTAGTGTATTCTTTTTTCGTTTAAAGATTTTTACTAGTTGCAGTATTTCATGTATTAATCAGACAGGTCAAGTATATATAGAGAAAAAATAAAAATAATATAAAAATCTATAAATCCTAATTGTATTCAATGTTACCTCTTTGTGAAAGAGGTAAATAAAAGAGCAGTAAGGCTTTGTGATTGTATAATTAATCAATAATACTTGGGATACATTATTTAAGAAGTTATAATTTGAAAAATGTACTTAAAAGATACTGTTACAGTTTTATTTTATTTTATACTATACTTTGTTAACATGTGAAATTTGAGTGCAATCGGGTATCCTGTGTATTTGTATTAACTGATTTCATATATATATAGTTTCTTAGTGTTTGCCGATAGCATAAAGATTTAATAGTTTTTGGCAAAATATTCACCAATTGCCATACTAAATGAATGTGTACACTGACTACAGACTCTCGCAATACATTTATGTTTGAATGCTTATCCAAATTATTATTTTAGAATTTTGTCCACAAACTCAAATTTGTATGTGTTACTAAAAAATGTGATTATAGATACAGTGTAAAAATATACGGGTATCTACGAATATTTTTTATGTTTCTGAACCTAAAACTAACCAGATCAGATATTGACAGTACGTCAAATCCTGAAGAAGACCCGAAAAATGCAAATCGATACACACCATTTATTTGTCGTATTTGTTTGTTGTATTTGTTTCAAAGCCGCTTTTGATACTACGATTAGAAATACTCTTTGTGCCGTTATGTCCGAATTTGGTATCCCATCAAAACTTATGCAGCTATGTAAAATGACGTTGACCAACGCCACCACTTCCGGTAAAATTGGGAATAATCTCTTTGTGTCGTCTGCGAAGAATACCAAACAAGGTTTCAGACAGGGTGAGTTCCTTGTCATGTGATTATTTTAACTTAAGGTTGTACACGATAATCCGAGCAGCAGAAAGGTGTTTGTTTGCCCGCAAGTGGATAGCGCGGTATAAGGCGACTGCATCCTCAGAACGGTACTATTAACTGGTGCCAGGCAGTCACAGATCGGATGCTGGTGGAAACTGCTGGATGTGGCCCAGGACTACTCAAGTCAGTAATGGTCAACTAAATAAAGCAAAAAACTGCCTAGACAATTTGTGCGATTTTTTCCTTTTTTGCATTCTTATTGTATCATTTTGTCTCAAACCAATTAAAACATAATTTTGTATAGACTTCTGACTTGTTGACTTTTTAGTGAAAGAGTGTGGCAATAGTTTTTCTTTATTTACTCTCATTTCAATTGTGATTTGCTACTATATTTTGGAATTCTTATGTAATTTGTTTTTGTAAATCGAACGCATTCGATGCTGTTATCTATTTAGGTAGAGCAGATAGAATTAGTTGCGGCAATAAAAGAATGAAAAAATTGAAGACCATAACACAATCTATGAGAAAAATACAAGACTATGAAAAATGTATTATGGATTTGTTTAACCACGTTGGCACACCTTATTGCTCCCAATAGGGCTCATTTTAAAATTGACTAAATAAATTTTGATTGATTAATATTTTATTTTATTTGATAATTGTATTTAATAAATCACAACGCTAAGAGAAGATATCAGACATACTCATATACCATTATAGTTCATAGTATACCATTATATAGTTTTAAATAAATCAAATCCATCGAATCATTGATCAGCATATATCTGATGTTAAAATATTACTCAACCAAGAAATTGTTCCGAGAGTGTAAATTTTTATTTTGTTTTTTTAATTAGGAGTTTTATGACATATGACAAGTTACATATTTTCTCATAATACTAAGAAATTTTTTAACAGTTAAAAAATGTTTAATTTTCTGGTATCGTCAAATATAAGTCATCAGTGGTCTTTGGAAGCAATTATTGATTTTAATATCTGCGTCAACCCGTGGTGCGGCATTTTAACGCATAAAGCATTGTTCACCTAATTTGCCGAATCACCGAATTCTATATATATTTTAAATAATACCTTACAGGAGATATTAACGATAACGATAAAAAATGTTGGCCAAAAGGAAATTGCAATAGTTTTTATACCATTTTCCTGTGAGTTGAATTATATATATTAAATTAAAACAGAAACATTGAAAAAGTGTATAAGACGAGTCTCTATGCATTATAGACATAAAGTTATTGGTACGTATTTTACAGACCTATTCTGTGCACTTTATAAACTTGTCGAAATTGACTGCTGTAAAGGTTTTGGTATTTTGTGACATAAATAAAAAGCTCTTTTCCTTGTTAGTTGTCCATACCATAAATGCTGTTGACAACTATTAAAATATGCTCTTTTTAAGCATTTTTTATTATTTGCATGCATGACAAATATTCTTAACTAAAATATACGCTCTTTACAAGCATATTTTTTATTGTTATTTGAATGCATGAAAAATGCTTTTGGTAACTTAAAATATATGCTCTTTACAAGCATTTTTTACGAACAGTTACGAACAATTACGAACTGTTTTCTATACAAAACATTTTACACCATAGTGTGGTGAGAAGCATTAGGTACTTGAGCTTTAAAATTTGTCAAGATGTATCCAGAATACCAAAAAGCTTTATGCTATATAAAAATTAAAAATTTTATTAAAGAATTTGATAAATCTGTCAAGTGCATAGAATAAGTCCGTTAATCTATTTATAAGGAAAAGATTAATAAAATTTTAGAACATATAATTTCTTAATTTGTAGATTAATTTGTATAGTTTTATTTAATCAGTCTTTCACAAATGGAATTTCCAGACCCGCATCCCAATGAAATTTATACATTTGAAATGCAATATTTTTTTTAATCAAAACAATGGTTAAGTGTCTAATGTATGTTACTGTTAAAACTACAATATTACTTTATATTCTTAATAATTATTGAGTACCTGAATTAAACACTTAAATATGTTTCGGAGAAGTTCTTAGAATTGGAAAGCCTGTGTTATGGAGAAGGTAAACCGATCTTAAAGAGACTCTATTTTACGACAATTATCATATTTGTGGATCGAAGAAAGAAGCGAAAAATATATCTTTTATACTCTGCAATTGTCCGCAACTCCTATGTATTTGATATGCTTACTGAAGGCCATAAAGACATAATCAGTGATTGCTCGATCCGAAATATAAGTATCTTTACTTAAATTGTTTTAGTATATAAATGTATCTTAAATCTTTTTCTGTGCTGGACTTATGTCATAAAGCTTGAGTCAACCTTATCCCAAGTGATACACGCGATGACTGATATCCTTCAGTTTTATTCAATATTGTATTAATGAATTTGATCTTGTTGGGACGAAACTAACATTTTTAATAATAAAATTTCCTAATTTTATATTATTTTGAAAAAACTTCGTAAACTTAGTGCGGTTTAGAAATCTTTTGTGTTTTATTGCAATACTAATTATAAATTTAATAATTATATGTATTAATTTAAAATCACTAAGTAATTGAGAAAATATTTAATGTGTATCTCTGACGTGAAATATTTTCATTATTAGGAAAATTTTGTTGTGGTCTCATGTTTTGTAATTTTGATTACTTCATATGAAGCCCAGAAAGTGATGAAATTAATAGTTACGAGTAAAATAAGATCGAAAGTAAATACGATGAAGTTAAAAGTTATACGATGGAGTTTTTATAAAAAAAAAAATTAGAAAAAATGGAAAAAAAATGTTACTGTGCAGAATGAAAATGTTTTATTGAAAAATGTTATAAAAACTGTATTATATTCAAGTCTGTATAGTGAAATATTCAGAATATTTTAACAAATATTCAAATCATTGCGTTAAAATACACATTTTAGCAAGGGAGTGAGTTTTAAAGCTCTGCTATTAGTTTAAAATTGTTTAATAAACAAAAATGGAGGGCACTATAATCTGTTGAATTTCTATCATATATCATAATAATATCAATGAGATTATAAAAATGTTAAATATTATCATCAATAGGACTTGGAATTTATAGGAATAGAAATGTGAATAATTTTTTATGACACATTCATCTCTGAGATAAAACTATAAACCTTAAGAAATTTTTTAGAACAAATTTTATTTAAGTATCTCATCACACAATTTATGGAACATATTACGAACGACAATTTGGGAAATGGATTATTTGGAAAAACGTGAGGATTACTGGTTTAAATTACCAGTAATCCTTAAACCTGAGGGAATGCATCTTCGGAAACAATTAAAAGTGACTCAAGTCGTATGCTTATTAGTTACGTTAATCATAATGCCTTCAAAGGATATCGAGGATTTACCGCTGATTTTGAGGGTAAGTTATTTCTCTTAATCTCTTATGGAGAAAAGTAAACATAATATAAATTCAAGCTGATACATTTTATCACACTTTGTCCGCCCATAACTGTAATGAATGTCCTGAAGAGATGCCATAAAATACATTTAAGCATAAATAAACGTGAAAAGTGTCACTATTGAGCAGGACATTCGAAAAACTATTAAAATACTATCAGAAACCACTAAATTCTGTTAGCAGCACATGAAAATGACCAACTGAAATTTATAACCAGGAAGGAAGGCTAGCCCATTGTCCAAAAAAAAATTCGGTTAAAATAAATAAAATGTCATGCAAATAAACAAAAATACATATTAGGTATGCACTACATTCTGTTAGTTTGTCTGTTTGTCTGCCTGACTGTCTACCAGTTCGGTACCATTACACTTCAGATTAGCCAAAGCTGAGCAAGCATAAAAAACTTTTCTGCATGAAAATTTTTATTAAGTTTTCCTCCAATTGTTGACAAAAAGGGTGCAAATTAAAATGCAACGAGTGTGGAAAATCACATAAAAATCAAGGTTTTGCATAAACGAGATAACTTAAACGAGATAACAAAGATAACTTAAAACACATGCATCTCTCGAAAATATTCTTTTGCAAATAAATAAAAACTTAAAAAAATGCATATTAACAAGAGTTGTCTTATATATTATTATGTGAATTTAACAAAATCTAAAAATCTATACCCCTCACATTAAATTTTTCAGAAGAATATTAGTGTTTATTGAATTTGATATCATTAATAACTATAATTGATTAACTATCAAAAATATTTAATATGCGAAATCGTTTATATGTATTTTATACTTATTATTGTACCATAAATGCTATAAGCGATATATTATATGAAGTAAATAAAACAAATAAATAATAATTAAAAACTCGATAGCATTGCAATCGTTCATACGTTTATTGAATTTCACTTATTTAGTCCACAATTAAAGGATTTTGTGTATGATGAATTACTTCAGTCTTGGAAACAACGTCAGATAGTATATCCGACTGGTTCTAAATAGATGTTTTTTCAACAAAACATTACAAATCACTTATCATAATTAAACGTTACATTATATTTTCATGTTTTACGCAGTTTAAAAAACTTTTAATCTACGCTTTGAATATATTGTATATAATATTCATTTACCTACAATTTTAATTTATTCGACATATGGCATCCCTTTAGTCAGAGTTTCGAATTTTCGAACAAAACAAGAGAAAAAATAATTTCTTAACTTAACGGATTCAAAATCATAACTGTTGACAATTTTTAATAGCAGCGCTTTATTTTTAATCTGTGTTTTTTGTGTTTAACAATTTTATTCAATAATCTAAGTTGTCTTAAACAGAAATATATTTTAAGTGAAAAATTAATACAAGCATAATTTAAAAAAAAATGATTAATTACGAGGTCTGCTTCAATAATGTGAGACTATGTGCTATACTATATGTTAATAAATAATTTTTTCAATTCAGGTTAAAGTGAGCCCATGCCAATCTCAAAATAAAAAGGGCTCTGTCGTGAGGGAGCCGACAAATGTAGTAATGGCTTTGTTTTCAGCAAAGTCAATTGTAGAATTTCGAGAAGTTCCGATAACAAAGACTGCTAAACGTATTTTGAACATCATAAATACAGGAAATGTCGATATTCATGTGAGTTATTTTATACAAAAATAGAAAAGAACATACGTATATATTAAACTTCCAAATTAGTGATATATACAATTTTTTTTAAATCTTAACTTATTAAACTTATTTAGCAATGACACTCTAATAATATCTAGCATCATAAAAAAAAATTGTGGACATAGATTTTCAAATTGTTCAGATGAACTTATGTACTGAGTAAAGCAAAATGTCACTTATCAAGGATAACAATCAGATTTTATTGAAATAAGTAAACAGGTTACAATAGTGAGATTAACATACCGGAAATAGTTAACAATTTATATTTGACTTTACATCGATTCCATATAGAAACTCTCCCAGAGATATTTTTTGTCTATCTAATAAATCTTAAATGACGAAAAATAATTAAGGTACTGAGATGGACACAAAACAGTGGGACTCGAAATACCTTAATTTACCAACCACAGCAATAATTATAATTATTGTAACCTTGTTATAAAGAACCTGATAGTTGGATTATGTTCAGAAGTGTTAACAAACTTGGTCTTCCATACAAAAGAGTGGTACCGGTATGATGATTTGGCCGCAACTGGTAACCTTAACGGCTTAAGTCACATTTTAAAGTATTTGACGTTAATTTTTTTTTAAAAATTATATTTAATAACATATTCTTGCCATGAATTAATATATTTAAAATACGTTAAATTTATGCTAGTGTGAAACTTTTGATCTTGTCTGAACCAAACAAACTTTCAACCGGAACCTTAGACTTTTAAATATTTTAAAACTCAACCACGAAGTGAACCATTGTTTCAGACATATATTCGGTTTTCAAATTCTAGATTATATACAATTTTATATAACATTGAATTATGTAGATTTTAATTTACGTATATATTTGTAATTTATATCTTCTCAAGAATTACTTTTTTTGCTTATATTTATTACAATAACTTATATTAAAATTGTTTTAAATACTATACAGGTTAAAGTCACTAAGCCTATTAAACCACAGCACTGTATATCTCTTAATTGGCATGAGAATGTTGTCCCCGCTCAGAGCGAAGTAAAAATGGAAATGGTTTGGAGTCCACAAAAGGAAATAGCTTGTACACAAATATTACAATTAACAGATAATAGAAATTTTCGGAAAGATATAATGGTTATAATGAAAACAAGACCAGAACTGCAGGTACATACAAAATTTAAATAAAAAATTCTGATAATTATCTTACTTTAAATTTTCTTAGAAACCACGAAAAGTTATCAGAAAATCTATAAGTCGTCCCATTAATAATGAAACATATATTGTGACATCCCCAAAATTTGTAAAACATCCTGATCAAATGCCAACAGTTTCACAACAAAAACGACGTGCAAGTATGGGAGATGCTATTAAGACAAAACTCCCAAAGGCTCCTCAACAATCTTCAATTCCGAAACGGCGAACAATGTCTTTTGTTAATAAAACACCTACTACATATAAACAAAATAATTATTTCCAAAAAGTTAGTGTAAATAATTCTAACAGAACGCCCGTTAATCCTATACCTAATAATCAAAAAAATAAAGATTACATTAACTCTTCAAGTCCAGCAAATGGGTGTGAGTCTTTTGGCGACAACAAGTTCACTCCTCCAAGTACTAAAATAAATAATGAAAATTTATACTCAACGCCTATACGTAAAGAAAACAATGAACAGATCAGACGCCAAAGTAAGCGACCTCAGCGTCAAACATTTTTAAAGTAGATAATATTATTTTGAATTCTGGGTTTTGAATTATAGAATACCTGAATATGAAAAATATGTGAAGACATCATGAAGAAAATTTTTTTCAAAAAAAAAATTAAATAATTATAACTAATTTAATACTCATTATCACCTTCAATAATGAGTACACGCATACCATTACATTTCCTTATTTATTCACTACAAAACGATGAGGATCATACTTCAATTAAAATTTTGCTTCAGGATCTCAGAAGTGATGTGTCACATCAGAATTGTGAATACAAATCAAAATTGATGTGTATTGAGCCTAATTAAAGATTTATTAAATATTAATTTACTGAATTAAATAACTGCTTTTATGAATTTTACACTTTTATATATTTCAAGACTAAACACAAATATCTTTTACTTGTAGGATTTTTGCTTAATAATAATTATTACTTAGTTTTAATTTGTGTGAATCATTCTGTTTATGTTCAAATTATGTGTTAATATATTGTGAAAATTAATATTTGTTCAATACATTAATTTTAATTAAATCCCTGATGTTCAATTTTGAGTTATAAAACCTTAAGATACTCTGTTTTAAACTTGACATTTCAACTAATCACTATTATATATATTATTTCACATTATTATTTAATTTATATTATTAAATCTATTGAGAAATTGCTAATATTTAATTTATTCTCAAAAAGAAACTTAAAACTTTTTGAAGTATTGAAATTAGAAACAAATAATATATGAAATACTTAATAAAATGTTAATATTTATAACAAATATTTTCAGATTTTTGTAAATAAGTATATACGCAGAGCGCTTCAACGTAAGAGAGCGTTTTCAAAATAATTATTTTTAAGGCCATGTAATGTAGAGGGTCATGGGCTCGTCAAAATTAAAATTGTTGTTGTTTGCAATGTAAATTATAAAATTGAGACGTAGAGAAAAAACAATATTTCGGTTCAAATTTGTTCATGACTCATAAGAGCCGAGGCTATCTGTCACTTAGGTGAAACAGTGTTGTTCAGTAATAAATATGAACTCAAGTCTGGCGTGTTGTGATGGATCCATGTTTCGTCCACAGTAACAAAACGGCAAAAAAATTCGTTCGGATTACGGCTGAACATCGCTAAACACTCTTTTGAACTGGTCAAACGAATGCGCTTATGGTCAAGTGTGAGCAATCGCGGAATCCATCTCGCGGAGAGTTTTTTCATGTCCAAATATTCGTGTAAAATGTGATATTCCCATTCAGTTGAGATACCTACAGCATGAGCCAACTCACGCACTTTCATTCTCCGATCATCCAATATCATTTCATGGATTTTATCGACGATTTCCGACGTGATCGCTTCTTTTGGGCAACCTAAACGTTCGGCGTCACTAGTGCTGGTACGACCACAACGGAACTCTGTAAACCACTTCTTAACCATTGAAATTGATGGTGCCGAGTCCCTGTAGTATTTATCAAGTCTTTTCTTAGTTTCAGTGATGGATTTTTACGTAAAAAGTAATGCTTAACCAGCACACGAAATTCACTTTTGTCTGCCTTGAACGGCTATCAAACACCAACTGAACGACGTAGCTTGCTCAAAATTACAAAGTTACCCACTGGTAGATTACAGCTGACGGCAGCACTGTTGTATTTGGAGTATCTGCGCGGGAAACTAAAAAAAATCACTGACTTATCAAAGCGCCGTCGTAACTTTAGCCATGAGCATATTTCGTGAAGATTCTGATTGAATTTTTTTAAATTAAATGTATTTTACAATTGTTAAAAAAAAAATCATTATTGATTTGGTATGGATCTTGCAAAACTGCATGCAAACTCAATTGATTAGGAATGATATTAAAGTATTGAATTCGTCACTGTTTACGGTGCTTTTAATTATAGATCAAGTGGCACACTTGACACAATGTTCGTTAAATTTGTTTTGGATACATCGATATGCAAAGCAAATACTTCAGGTTTTGTCATGGAAGAGGTTATCGAATGTGAAAATCAAAACCATGGTTCTGAACACGAGAGCATAAAAACTTTAGAATTAACACTCTTAATTCCGTTTTTTGTTCTATTTAGATGCCTGCGGTGGTGTGATAGAATATCCAAACGGTACTATTACTTCACCATCATTTCCAGCACTTTATCCTATACTAAAGGAATGTATATGGGAAATTATTGCACCGCCAAAACATAAAATCTCTCTCAATTTCACACATTTTGAATTAGAAGGCACCACACATCAGCACACAGATTGTGGTTATGATTCGGTCACAATTTATTCGAAACTCAGCGAAAATCGCCTTAAACGTATTGGCACCTATTGTGGAAACGCCATTCCACCCACAGCCACTTCAGAGGGCAATGCTTTACGTGTAGAATTTCATTCCGATAAATCAGTGCAACGTAGCGGGTTTGCTGCGGTTTTTTTTACCGACATAGATGAGTGTTCCCTTAATAACGGTGGTTGTCAGCATGAATGTCTCAATACAATTGGATCCTATATGTGTTCATGCCACAATGGCTATTCACTGCACGAGAATGGACATGATTGTAAGGAGGGCGAATGTAAACATGAAATTTCCGCACCATTCGGTACTATCTATAGTCCCAATTTTCCGGATTTGTATCCACCAAATGCTGATTGTGTTTGGCATTTCTTGACAACTACAGGACATCGCATCAAATTAATTTTCAACGAATTCAATGTGGAATCGCATCAGGTAATGGCAAACATAAATTTTAATGAAATGCACTCTTTTCCACATGAAGCTTTCGCATTTGATGTATTCTCTGTTTTTGAATTTGATTGATTTGTGTAGGAATGCGCTTACGATAATGTGGCAATATACGATGGCGAGTCTGAAAGCAGTTCGCTTTTGGGACGTTTCTGTGGAGACAAAATACCATATCCGATATCATCTTCCACAAACCAATTGTACATGGTATTGAAGACAGATAAAAATAAGCAACTCAATGGTTTCACAGCAATGCACTCTACTTGTGAGTATGAAATGAAATAAAAAACTACTAATTGATTAGAACTCAAATGTATTGTTAATTTATGTTGAATGCAGCATGTGGCGGATACTTACGTGCAACAAATCAAATTAAACAATTTTATTCGCACTCGCGTTTCGGCAATCACAACTACAATGAAAACATGGACTGTGAGTGGACAATACAAGCACCACCGAGCAGCAATGTACAGTTGTTGTTCCTAACGTTCGATATTGAAAGCAGTGAAAATTGCACTTACGATTAC